TATTCCACTACGATTAGGGAGGTTGGGATACTGGGTCACATGAAAGATGGTGGTACTTCATAAAGGTTTAAGGAGATCTGCAAGCTGCAGAGAGAGCAGTCAGGGAGTTGTTTGACCTGTGCCAGGCCTGAAAGGTCTGTTCTTTTTTTCAGAAAATAGAAAAAAAATATATATGTATGGGGAATGAATGATAGCGCACTGCATGTTCCTTTGATTTGTGTGTTATTTTGTATTTAGATACCTGTTCAAAGACAGGCAGCAATAGAAAACTGGGGAAGTAAGTTTCCAGCTACTCCAGGACGTTCTGGTGATAGATAGGACTTTTGGAAAACGTTAATAACGTGATATTTTATTTTTACCTCAGTCCCTGTTTCTATTCCCTCCCCTCTGGCCTTTTATAAATTTCAAAGTTACACAAAGACTTGCCAAGAATGCCCTTCCCTCTACCTGTATGCTGGCCTTGCATGTAAACAGGGAGGGCTTGAAATCTGGTTGTGAAAGCTCCACCTTATTTTGGCAATAACAGCCTCATCTCCAGCACTATTCATTTTACATAGTGAAGTAATTTTTTATTTGTTAATGAAATAGTTTGATGGGAACTGCTTCCTATTTAAAAGGTTTTCTACCCATGTTTTACACCTGTGAGGTTCATTTGCCACAGTTTTCATAATCAGAAACAATAAGCCATTAATTTATATGGTGTTTTGCAAGATTCTTCTATATAATAAGTAAACATTGAATTGCCTTTGCATATTCTAATTCACTTTAATCCATTTCAGTTGTACATGCCAAGTGGTCAAATTTTTGTGTTATGTGAATTAAGTAATGTAATTTTTGTCCTTTTTCTTCTAAATCGAAAGCATTTGAAGGTGCAGAGGAGAGAGCAAAGGTTTATTTCTTCTCTGACAAGGTTAAAGCCCAAGATTAAGTCAGACAAAAACCACCAAATCCTTATGCTGGATCTGTTTATTGAAATATTCAAATAGAATTCATTCTCTCTCTAGAGTAAATGATTTCTTTGCTGAAATTATGGTGGCATATGGGGACGTAAGATATATTACAATAAAACTGATATAAAACAGTTGAATTCAGAAATAGTGGCAAGAGATAATTTTAGTTCACTATGATTTAATTCAATTAAATGCAACACTGTTAACTGCAGACTAAGAAGAACTACTTGTGCCTGTGCAGACACACACAAACATTATTTATTCTCTGCTGCACCTCTCTTTGCAGAAGAAATTACACCAGTAAAAAGTGGGCACTGGATGCTTTCATAGCACTGTAAAAGGCTATATACCTCAGAGACCTCAATGGAAATTTTACCTGAGCAAGAAGAAACAGTGAGCTAAGGTGTTCCCATTAAAACGCAGGAAGCTGTATTTATGTAGTATGCTGTCTTTGAACATCAACAGTGTTGGTGCAGGCTTGTGGACTAACTTATCAAATAGTGCCTCAAAAGAGGTTGGTGCCAGCAGGGAAAATATAACTGCTGATTTTCTTTTTTTTTTTTCCTTCAGAAACAAAACAGTCCATCAAAACAAACTGGTCAGTTTGAGCTGCCTGTGCCTTGCCCATCCCAAGCACTGCCTCGAGTCTCTTATGAGAGAGAGAGCGAGCAATTACTGATTCCCCTTCTCCTTTAAATACCTGAGCTATTCCCTGCCCTGTACTTAAGCATGACAACCCAAACCCACAGAGGCATGCAGACACTCAAGGACTGTGGATTTCAATTGGAGCTACATGCCTAAATGCCTTTGTGCATCTATGCTTACGGGTTGTGCTGGCCATGCCCCAAATCCCTGCTCTCAGGCTTGCTGCCTAGGAGGAGACTAATGAAGGGCAGGCGGCACAACACCAATCTCCCTCCCAGGGCTGTCTGACCCTGCAGCCATGGGACAGCGGGCTGTGACAGAGATGTGCGTTCACTGTGGCGATGGGAATAGGTTTAGCATGGGGTTGTTGAGGGGACCTGCCTCCTTTTCGAAACTCTCCTGCTTCAGCCTGGCTGTCCTTTCCTAAACAGCAGTTCCCCTGTATAAATCACACTCCCGGTGGCCATCAAGATGGAAATGAAAGCCCATGGGCGCCTGTGTGAATGCTTGGTACACTGGCATAGAGTAACAGGCAGAGACTTGGCTGGGATTTTTGTATGGATTCAACAGAAAGAAATTTCTTACTTAGTAGGTATGTTTTATTTGACCATATATGCTGAGATGCGTGACACTGTCCTACCTGGGGCATACACCCAGTGTTCATGCGTGAGGATTCCCAGAATGAATCTTACAGACTCAGGCTTTGTAGCATACAGGTGTGTGACAAAACCCTTATTTTTCTTATTATATGTTTTGTCATTATGTTTTTGGATCATGGCATGGCCTAAATATCCAGCTTCTGTAACTGTAAGCAAAGGGATGCTTCCAGTCCCAAAGAGTGAGTTTGCAACCTAGGTCCAGGATGGGAGCTTATAGCAAATGAAGACTAACTGTGAGCAGGAAACAAAGAAATGAATTTTTAATAGTCATAATTACCCTTACACTAACTGCTTGACCACTATCTGTTCATAGAATAGAGTCTACTGTTGAGTTATTCTAAAGGAAAGAGTAAGTCTGGGAAACAAGGGAGAAAATGAAAAGGTGGTTGTGATACGGCAGTGATTTCAGCTGCTTATGCTTTGGGATTGTTCAATAATGCAGGTAATTGTCTTTGATCATAGCCTTGTAACCACCACCTTTAATTTGTAGCACAGAGGTTACTATCTAGCACCCAGCTAGCCAAATGAAATGTATGGCTTGATTAAGGATCTCTTTTGTCAGTAATTTGTGCCTAATGTTTTTAGCTTTCCCACGGGCTGTTATAGAAAATGGTAAATCTGGTTTAAATGAAACCTGATACTGTTAATGGTTTAATAGCAGCTGCCACAGGGTTATGGCATTTTTCAACAGATGCTTCTGTTTCATTTTAAGCCTACACTAAGTCTTAGAATATATTTACATAATTAATATAAAGTACACCTACATAATAACAACAATATTTATAGTTTTAAAAAATTTCCTTAAACTACTTCCTCTCTCTTACTGTTATCTAATGGCAATATATAACTTGAAACAGGAAGACATATTATTAAAATAATAATTTATGTTCACGTCTTCAAAAAATTATAGAATGCAGCACAGCTATGAACGTGTATCATCTCGTAACATAGCAGTTATTGGTATGGGTAAATCCCTTAGCTGCTTCAGAAAAAGAGACAGAAAAAGCTTGGCTGTACCTGAGTGGCACTTATTATCTTGCTTACTGTTTAATCAGGAGTATGAAAAATTGATGCTAGTATTTTAAAATATCAGTCAAAAGAGAGCTGTGTTGAGGTGTGTACTTATGTGCAGTAATATTTGAGGCAGTAAAGATTTGTGGCTTGTTATCAGCTAAGAATGTCATCTGAGGAAATCCCTGCTAATTTAAGAAGACTTTGGCATTTTAGGCTTTTAATAGTGGATGATCAGTTTGGATGGATGTCTTCTATTCAGAGGTCTTATTCTGCGTTTCAAAAAGTGCTGAAGGTATATCCTACAGGACACTCAGAGTCAGAGGATACCCTTGAATATTGTGGTCTTCTACAAGTACGTGCCAATTCACAGGGAGGAGAGAAGGAGAAAAGGCTCCTCTTTCTCTGCCTTGGCTGGAAGGCAAGGTAAGGTTGAGCAGGAGTCTTTGCAAGGCAAATGTACCAAGGTATTTGCTGCTATGAACTTTCAGGACTGAAATGGGAACAATAAAAGGTGGAAAACATTCAAATAATAGAATAATGTCTCCATTAGAAAAGCATCTAAGATAATTTATTTCAGAGATTAGGCAGTCCCAGTTCTCCATAATCCAGGAGAATGTGTAGGAGCAGTGGTGAAGCAGATGTTTTGCTGTGTGAGAGGTGTAGCTGACGTGTTTGTTCCCCTTGTCCCCAGGTGACTGCCCTTCAGAGCCGTTAGCCCGGGTATGATGGTAGTCACCTTCCATTTTCTAGCTTTTGTATGGTTTTTGTTTTATTTGCCCTTTTGAATGTATTAGAGCTGTTCAATAGGACCTCGGTCAACCCCCATATTAATTAAAGAAAACAGTTACAATTATGACACAGGACCAGATTTCTTTGTCTTTGCCCTGCTTCCTTCTCTACCCTCTTGTCCATGACCTTGTATTGCTTCACACAGCAAACGTTATAGAGGGATTTACATAAATTCATTACTTCAGGGTGTTTCTTCATCCCTGATTTTCAAGTCTTTGCCATGGGAACACAATCGCTCCAGGGCCCTAAGGCATTGGTAACTCTCTTCCACAGCTCCCAGCTGGTCAGAAGAATATCTCTAGCTATCTTATGAAAAGCGTAAACAGTATTTGCTAGTCTTTGGTATGCTGAGAGTTTACTACCTCAAAATCCTTTTTGACCCTACCCTGAGGTTCACATACTTTGCAAGAAGAGTTTCCCTGCTTTAATTTGAAGGAGGAAGGCTATTGTGTACCAATATCATTCCCAGAACTGGGTGGAGAATAGTTTATGACTCAGTGAGGAGCAAGTCTGCAAGTGTTCTCACTGGGTATTTGGATAAACTCTCCAAAGTTGCTGCAAGAAGAACCCAGTGGTGAATCTCAGTAAGCCCTCACAGGGACACACCAGATTCCCAAGTTGGTTTGTTACTTTGTCTTTAAGTTTTCTACTGGCAATGTTTTTCCATCACTGGTAAATAAAGACATAAAATGAACACTTTTAGAAAGCGAAGGGAAAAAAAGAATTCACAAAATTAGCGTGAAAAAAAAGCACAGCATTTTTTGTCGGAGTGGAAAATTGTTCAAATGCATGATTTGGTGGAAAGAGAAGAGTTGTTAATTGTTTTAGCATGCAAAATTGCTTCAGAGGTATGAAGTTTGTAGAGCTTTGTATGATAAAAGAAAACTGGTTCCCTTGTAATGTTTTTATAACTAATAAATCTTCTCTTTTCCTCCTTTACTAGGTTCTACCACCTAGAAAAGCTATGAAGCCAGGCATGGTCCTCCTCTTTGAACTCTTCCTTCTTCGTGGGACCCATACTTGGATTGATCGAGAAGTGGGATGGGGAGCTTTTCCCTTATGTGACAACAATTTTAATGCTTTGGAGGGAAAATTTAAATGTCCCTTCCTCAGAGGCCATTATGACTCTAAAATTGACCGATTCAAAAAAATTGAAAATTTTATTTCTCAAGACTTGGATCATTGGTTATGCAATCTCTACTTTCAGGTTTGTATTTAAAAAAACAAGGCCTGTTGCTTTAGTCACAGTTCCTCAGAACAGATTCTACTTTCCTTCTCTCAGCTTTAAAATCAATACCGCCTTTCCAAACAGCAGTTTATCAATCTATCCAGTAGGCATACAAAGAAAATGAAAATCACATGCATCTCCAACTTTTACATGAAATTAGTGGAGTTTTTACAGGCAAATGTTAGGATTATTTCAAATATCAAAATATTGTTTGTGGTGCTGAGTAATTGGATCAAAAATTTGGATCAAAAGTTGAAATTCCAAGTTTCAGCCTGCCACCAAGTGCATTTAAATTTCCTCTAGAGTTTTAGTGAATCGCAGAGGTGCTTTCACATGGCTACAAAATAAAATAATCTTGTTTATGATATCGTTGCATGTGTATGTCTGGGATCCACAGGTAGCAAGGAAGGCTCTGTTGTGGTAAGAACCTTACTTTTGAACAGGTTTTGGACATAATTCAGATGTGAAATTTTTTGTATGTCTTTGGTGAAAATGGGTCTGAATTAAGAAATCCTCTTTGATGGAAGCTTTGTTTCTGGACTTGCAAATTAAGGGTGCTGTTGTAACTGAGATACATTCCCTCATTCAGAATCTTAACAAGACCACAAACTTACACATCTTTTATAGTCACGTCTGGCCCAGGAAAAAACATTTACCAAAAGAGATGAACTCTGAAAGCATCTTAATTTTAATATGTGAGATTACTTAATGGAAAGTGTAGTTATTAATTTTCTTTTAGTGATGGTTTTCAGGCAATTTTCTTTTTTGGGTCTACCAAGAGTAAAAGAAAGTGAAAATAAATTCAGAATCAAGTAGAGATATAAGAATTTATACCAAAAATATACCTAAGGTATGTTAGGAAAGAGAATGTCAGAAAACACATTAGCAGAGCTGTGGTAAAAAAATAACAGAAGAGTCAAAATTGGTTGAAATGAGGGGGGGAGACCCTAAAGCTGCAAAATTAGTCTTTCAACTCAACATATAAGCTGGGATGATTTAATGATCTAGGGAATCTATGTTTTCCCAGATGATTCTGAATTTGGATTGTGAGTCACCCCCATTTACCAGAGTATCTGCTTTAGTCTGTAAGCATGGGGAAGATGTACATGGGAAACAGATATGAGACAAAACTGTAGTAAATGGAGTACCGAGAAACAAGAACTTCCTAAAATCCTTGTAGTAGCATCTTGGACTTCTAGGGTTCACAAATAGTGTACAAACAAGTATGTTCTGGCTTTGTGGAATACTGAACTGTTTATGTTCATTTTTTTTTTTTTTTTTTTTTTAATAATTTTTTTTTTTTTTTTTTTTTTTTTTTTTTTTTCACACGTTGATTTTCAGAAGTTTTCTCTTTTACTTTGCTGTTTTGTCTGATCAACTTGTGAGTTATACTTCTCACTTTTAGGACAGAATACAAAGACTTGGCTTCATTCACTGCAGGTCAAAAGTCACCCATCGTAATTTTGAAGTATCCAGTAAAAATAGGCACTCATTTCAAGTGGGTATTTAATAGATAATTAAACTACCACAGGATTCAGATAAGGAAAATAAGTGTGATATGCACCACCTCCCACCTCAACTTCTCATCTGTTCAAGCGTTGCTGAAAAGAACGGTGTCTCAGAGAAGGTTGAACAGTCTGGACCACAAGGTGGTAGATTCAAACTTTCATGTTTATATTCAGGCTTTCATTGGAGCAACGCATAGTTTCATTTCGATGTTGGCTAGTCATTATTGTTCCTGTTAAGCTAGATTCTCGTTGTTCAGAGATTGGTCCAACATGTGTTATAGCAGGAATACTGTGATTTTTTTTTTTATTAATATTGCTTAACTTTGTTTTCAGTTGTGAGCAATTTAAACCAGCCTCACTGCTGAGGGTGAAACTTTCCATGCTGGCCTCTGCTTGAGGCTGAATAATGTTTGGAATGTCACAGCAATAACGGTTCAACTGCTTATGACACCAAGCTTACAGGAAGAAATAAAAAAGAAAAGATACTTTTTTGTCTAATTATTTCTGGAAGAACTCTAGCACCTCCCTGGGCTAGAACAGGGACTTGAAATTTGGCAGGGAGATAGTTCTGGCATCAGAGGCATGCCTTATGCTACTTCCATGACGTTCCATTAAGATTCAATCAAGCCGTAACCCATAGGAAAGAGAAATTATCATTTGCTTATGTGAAGCAGACCTCCCCAGAAGCTTTCTTAAAAAATCGCTGAATTTTACTTTTAGACTGAGTATCCTCCTTGGCCTCTGTGAGTCTCCTGATGTAGCTACGTTGAAGACATAATTGCAATGGACTCAGAAATTGCTTCTTTTCTCTTAGAAATCCATGAATGAGAAGAATGGCAGGACACTGCCATTGGTTTTTCTTTTTCAGCATGGGGGATCTGACTATCATGGACAAAAAGAATTCTCTTTTGGTATACAGGCATTCCTTATTCCCTTTTGTTTAATGAACTGGAGGATGCAGCCAACCCACAGGTTGTAGTGTCTCTGTGAATATTATGTGCAGATCTGAAACAGTGATTTAGTTCTTCAGGACAGAGGTTCCTTGGGCATTTGACAACAGCAGCAGTGATGCACAGTAGAAGACATGGGAGGAGAAAAAGGAGGGTATTGGAAGGAAAGAAAGAAAGCAGATAATAATCATTTAGTGTGGTGAATGGGCAGCTCAGGTTGGAAGTATAACATGAAAAGAGGCTAGTGGAAGTATTTACCAGACAGTGAGTAATGGTTTAGGAGATAAAGAAAATGAGGTTTGCCCTGTGACACTTTTAGGCTAAGCAGCAACTGTACTATGATCAAAAGGCTTTGATATAACCACCCTGATACCAGAAGCAGAGAGGTGTAAACATACATTGTACTGAGGAGTAAGGTCCTTTTTGTTGCCATGTATCTTCTATGTATCTGCTAAGGTGCTTCCAGATGCAGCGCAAAACCATGAAGAGCAGATTCAAAAGGTGGAGTTGCAGCCAATTTTTCTCAACAGTCAAGAGTTATGGACAAGCTCTTAACAAATCAAACTTGTCCTTACCATTGTTTGGTCCTACCATCAGTCTTCACATGCACATGGACACACACACACACACATAGAGGCTGCAACTAAATAGGTCACGCTTCTGGAAACACACAGAAAAACTCATGATACTCAGTTTGAGAAGTCGTGGAAGATGTATTTATAAGAACTGAGAAAGAGAATTAGTGTATGTCCTATTTTGTGTGCAGACCTCTGAAATATGCTGATAAGCTGATCATGGAAGATCTGCAATTTCCATGCCAAACAGATTTGCACTAACAAAATTTCTAGAAGTAATTTTTTATATTGTTTATATTTATTTATTTTTCTTGGAGCCTTCTTTAAAGATATTATTAGCTGCTAATATCCCCCATGGGTTTGTTTTTTAATGTATCTATGCAGTGCTACAGTATGCTGTTTCTGCTGGTGATATGTTGCTAAGAGATTTAATAATGGGTAAACAAACACAACATGTGGTAATCCATTTCAAATTAAAAGTTTATTAAACGCTAGCTTGATGACTTTCTGGCTATTTACAATTAAAGGAGCAAACCTTAGGGAACTGGAGATCACGTGGTGAAAATCACGACTTCAACATTTCCAACAGAAAAATGTGTTTATGATCTGTGGCAAGCTGTCGCACATTGATATGCTCTATAAATACTATATTATATCTGTTAAACCACCAAAAGCAGGGGGAAGAAAAGCTCTGTTAAAGTGACATTAGGGTTGAGACACAAACCAGAGAAGGCAAGAACAGTCTAAATGAAGACTGGTGCTCTGTAACTCACTCTACTACAGTAGTCTAAATAGTGAATGATCTTACATATCGATACCATATGTGGTGCTGCAACATATAAGAAAAATAGAGCAGGTTGGGAGATGGTGTTTTAACCTTCACTTCAAATTTGTCTTGGTTTTAGGCATTTAAGACAGAACCTTCATATTATTTCCATTAACTTCAGGCTACATTATTCTTTTAAAGTACAGCTCTCTGTTGGGCTAGGTATGGCTCTTCCCTGCTGCACAGGATCTCTCTTCCAGAGTACAATGCAGGGGAATGCAACCTAATACCTCCCATTCTGCCTCCTTTGTAGGTCACAGATGCATGTTATCAGATCTAGTGTGCTGCTTCGTCCAAACCATATCTTCTCTCCATTCTTTTGAAGTCATATTCCATGAGAGGTTCATGGAAGAAGACAGCTTCTGCTTTCACAACTTTTTTTTAAGAAAAGCCTCTGTTGTTGATCTGTTGCCCCATCAAGGGATCAACAGTCCCTGTTAATAAATAAATGACAATTTCTGTGTGGAATTTGTGTGGAGGGTGGTAACAACTCTAATAGAAGTAGCATAGGAAGGAAAATTTGATGCAACTACCAGTAACGTTGCCTTGACAGGCTTGGATCTAAGTAAGCCAGTCTTCTAAATGCATGAAAAATTCAGAAATGTGTATCTCCATATAAAACACTAAATATAAAAATTCTTCAAGAGAGCACTCTTTCTCACTGTAAAATCCACAGCAAGATCCCCTTTGACTTTAGTGTCCATAGAAGAGGGGATTCACACGTGCAAAACGCCAGTGTAACTCAGTCTTTTTTGAAAGTGGCAGCTCTTTGATCCTCAGAAAAGTAGCTGGACAGCAATTGTATGTTTGTTCTCCAGTTCAAACGCTTCTAGATCAGACTCAGGCTCATTTGGGAAGTGTTACTCTGCACTTGTTGGGAACATTCTTCCAAATCCTTGCTCTTCTGTCTGTGCTGCTCCACTGACTTGACATGTGAACCACCTATTTGTGGCCATCAGAAATAGTGATCAAATAAAACAGGCAAGTAGAAAACCACGGATGATTTTATCCTTTGTAGTTTGTAGAACCAAAGGAAAACCTTTTTCATTCTAGTGACTTACTCACGCCTCTTTAATATTGGCCAGTTTGAAGTCCTAAAGTTATGGTCAGCACTGTTCTAGCACTCAAGATCTAAAAAGAGTGCTTACAAGGGGGAACGGGGAAGAGTGGCTGAGGAGGATTAAGATACTGAAACAATAATTTTTTTTATAGCCAGTTGTGTGCAGTTTTTGGTCAAATTACAGCAGAAATCACATACTTAAATAGTCATGACCGATTGTACATCTTTTTAAGCAGAAGTTAGCCCAAGCACTACAGTGTGCAATCAAGATGGGAGATTTGCTTAGCCTGGCTGTGTCGGAGGAGAGGCATTATCAGCCAAGATTTTCAAGGAAAGTGTTCAAAGGTAGCCAGGCTAGTTTTGTCCCAGCAGCAGGATGATCTTGCTGTAGTAGAGGTGTGGCACAGGCTATATTAGCCTGGGTACAGTGTTGTGTTAGCATGACTACGCTGCTCCCAGTACCTGGACTAGCAGAGATGTTTGTTGTTACTGCTTTGACAGGTAGATTTGACATGTAGAAAGACTCCTACTACCTCAGCTGTCTTTGGACTAAACGCCTACATGCATATTTTCTATGTGTTTGTAGCATCATCTTTCCAGAAAGTCTGCTTGTCCATTATTCCCCCTGCTGTAGTATACTTTGGGAGTGTAAATAAAAAAGCAGATTAGCTGTTTGAGTATGGTTTTAAGGACACTTATTTTCTTCCAATGAACAAATAGCGCTTTTTTGCCCCTAAACTTTATTTTTCCCTCCCCTACAAGGTTTGCTGTCTAACAGCAGTGCATGTGGCTCATGTGCCCGTGCATCAAGCAGAAGAAAAGTTAGAGCAGCTGAAATTTTTTCAGTTCGCAAACTATGAGCTTATAACAGAAATAAATATTATACCGAAGGATCATTTTTAGATATACAATTTATCTGGTTACTGTAAAATGTAAGAGCATTTTCCAGTCTGTCTTCATTCTGTCTGCCTGCCTGGCTGTTAAAAATAAGGTTGGTTTGTACCACTTGGCTTTGGCAGTCCTTGAAACCCTGCCGGAGTTATAAAGCTTTAAACGGTTGCGCAGGTCTTTAATTGTAAATTAGTTTTGACAAGACTGCTAGGCAAAGGCCTGGCCCATCCCGTTGTGATGCTAGCCGACAACCCCTTACTGCTCCTGGAGCAAGGAAACATGTGGAAGGAATTGTTCTTTTACATTTCACAGCTTGTCATTTCCTCTGCAGGGCAACCTCTGACCTCCCCGAAAGATCCTGACACCCACAAGGGAAGTATTCCCACTGTTGTAAAGGAAGTGGAAAAGCAGTTTAATACTGCGAAAGGAGGAGAAGCGTGTGTGTCAGAAGAAGCTGGGAGGAAAAGAGAAGAGCTTAAAATGCTTCCAGCAGGTTAGGACTTTTATTGTGTTATTTAATTTATTGAAAGTTTGCAAATAGATCTGCTTTGCGTGTGTGTAAATACCCTCATCTCCCTTCCCCCTCGCTCTCCAATATTATTTCATCATTATTTCACTAGGTAAAGGAAGCAATGGAAAAGTTTAAATCAATTGTGAGGGATCAAAAGCAGCTTAGGTGAAAAATGTACAGAAGCAGTGGGCTCCTCTGTCTAAAACGTATTAGTAGGCCAAATGTGGTAGTAATTACAAGGTGTGTGTGGAGTGCACTGACAACACTAGATTACGGCTGGTGTTTCCGTGACATTTTTACATCCTTTCATTTTATTTGGTCATTTATATCCATGGATTCACAACATGTTGCTGTTAGGTGCTTGGGAAGTATTTTTTCTTCTTACAGCAGGTTAATAGCAATATCCTTTGTTAATTGTGCTGAGCTAAATTACGTAAGAGTGCCTGTCTCGTATTAACGTCAGATAGCATTTGCTTCTGAGATGTGGGGTTTCTTTTGAAGGCAAAGCCTTACAATTTGTGCTGTTTTTTGGGGGTGTGTGGGGGTTTTTTTGTTTGTTTGGTTGGTTGGGTTTTTTTTAAATCCCAGGCAAAACATACGTGACTGAGAACTGAGTAACATAACCACTGCGTCCTATTCTAAACTCAGCACCATGATGGCCGGAGACAGATGTACTACAGGACAGGGATCTGATGGTACCAAGATTATAGACAGCCATTCCCACTTAATCTAGGTAGTGAATTGTGCTCTCTGTCCTGTGATAGGAAAATGGCTGTGCAGGCACAGAAATGGCTGCTGTCGGCGCTCCCCTTCGTGCTAGCACCCGCGCACGTGCCCCATGTGCCAGCCAGCCCTCCTGGTCATGGTACAGATGGTTAGGATAAATAGGTAAATTGAGTAGCTGAGGTAGCGGAGAGGGCATCTGGAGCTAACCTGAGATCTACAGCCATCCCCAGCACTTGTGACTCTCCTAGCCATCACAAACAAGGCAAAGGTCAGCTTTCGTTTTAGGGAAAGGATGATTCTTATGCCCTTTGGTGCGGAGAGAGGGCTGAAAGTGCAAGTAAAAATAAATTAATCCCTTCTTTTGAAGGGAGTGACTCTCCTTCTGTACCAGGAGACTATAATAAGTCATGTTTAGATATTGAACTGAAAAATAATAGGTAAGAGAGAGCTAATAGCTACCTCTTATCTGTGTAAACTGTAGTTTGTAGTCGTCTTCATGTCTGTGGGTTCCCCAAAATTATGCAGTAGAATTTTTGATGCTGATTTGAAGCCAACTGACATGCCAGCTTTCCTTTTACAGCAACCCATGAAACGTAGTTCAAAACCCATTTCTTTGGAGCTGTCCTTCTCTGTTGACTGCCCAAGAAGGCTAGGACTATGCATCTGCTATTATAGGTACATTTGTTGAATATCTCATGTTAAGTGGTCACAAATAGAGGTAGAAGATAGTATGGCATTGCTTAGTCAGGATTCATAAACACTGAGTATTGATGTTGACCATCATAGATGCGTAAGAAGTAGAATACAGAGCTGGTGTCAATTTTTGTTAAATGGTGTTGGTGATAAAAGGTTAAGCATGTTACAGAAAAAAGCAATACAAATTTCCAATCTTTCAAGGTTTCTCAATACACCTCCTAATAAGACCAACACTTCATTAGCACGTCCTTTCTAGATGTTGGCCCTTCCAAGAGTGTAATCACAGCCCCAGGTTAGAAATTTTTTTCCAACTTTGATGTTGGTGGAATCTACTCTGAAATTCATTTAATTCGTTTGCCCAACACTAGCTGTGCACAGCAGCTTAGGATACTCGTAGTATTTAAAACTTGAGTAACCTGCATGAACAAAAGTTGTTTTAAATACTGTTTAATGGTATTTGACATATGCTTTTGGCTGATTTTTAAACTCTTTGCTGATTTCTTTTCCTTGCCAATGTTTCCAACTCTAGAATATATGTCTCAAACTCCAATTATTAGTTGTGCAGGTAGACAGCTATTTCTTCTCCTCTCTTCCCCCTATCCCCATCACTAATGCTTATCTAGGTCTAAAACTACCATGTTGAATTTTTATTCAAATTAGTTATGTGGAGTTTGGCAGAGATCCAATGCCAAACAAAGCATTTTAGAGCCCACATTTTCAATTCAAGAGGGTCTCTTACAAATACCCTGAAACAATGCAGTTACAGAATTGGCCTGATTTTGAAAAGTACTCAATTACTACAAATTTTATCAAAGTATGGTAAGATTTAAAGGGCATTGTTTTGCATCATCAGAGGATCTGACTCGGTATACTCTAAGAGATAATACTATAATCTACTGAGGATTCTGTAATCTACTGAGGATTTAAAAAACGGATCTTGTATAATAGGGAGTCTACGTGAACTACAAACAGACCTCCAAAAGCATCCATGGATTTGAATTAGGTGAAAAATGTTTTTGCTTATCTTTATCCACAAGACAACAGAAGTTTTTCTTCATGAGCTCAATTTCTGGTACTTGCTAAATCTATTACATGGTAATTTAATGCAAAATTTTGGTTTCAAAACACACGTCACTAAAGCACAGATTTTCTCTGGTGGAATACTGTCAGTAATGTAACCACTAAACTCAATATCTGCACTCAGAACTAGGGAGGGAAAAAAGCTTCATTTTGAAATCTCCAGATAATTTCTGCAGAACCATGTATAAACTAGGATTTATATTGTATCTGATATTTAATTTGGAGTTTCAACAGTGCCTGCATTTTCCTCCCCACCAACTCTCACCCCAGCAGGCAGCTGCTCCCCAGCCTTTCTCTCATATGAAGCCTGATTTCTTTTTTCAAAGCCCCCAGGTATGCACGTATCACAGTAAAAACCCTGCAAACATGTAAAATATTTCTCATAAATATTTGTTAGTCAGCCTGTTACAAGCAGCTTGCATTCTGCCCATTTTTGGGGTTTGATACCACTTCTGTTGTTCCTTCAACCCTCTGCTCTGTCACCTTTCTATGGCACACTCAGGACAAATTTTTAGCTCCTGATTTTCAAACCTACCAGCTCAGAAGGATTCTTTCGCTCAATGTCCGTCTTGTAAAATAAACTGAATATTGATAATTGAATATTAAATATTGATCATATTTAAGATCCTCCATTCAAAACCCTCTCCTCATCTGTGGAAAAATCTTGGGAAGTGAATTGTGTCCTTTCGTGACATCAAAAACATTTCTGTCTGAACAAAGCTTCAGAATAGCACCTGAGAAAAGATGGTATCAGGCTAACGGAGGAGTTAGTACGCTAGCATATAACACTCAGAAATTTATTCAGAACATATTAAGGTGTTCCTTCTGTATCAAAATATCAAACACAGAGACAGTTTCATTCTGATTTTATCACTACTTTGGAGGAAAAGTTTTTCATTTGTTAAAATATGCTTGCGTAGGTGAGAAATGGTTTTGTTGAGAGGATTATGTTTATGCTCACAGCCACTTCTGAAACAATGTCATGAAAACCAGTGAGCCTTCTTTGCAATATTTCTCATTATACTGCAATGAGGTTTTTCTCCTTCTGATATGCTGTTTGCTTCTACGTAACAGTTGTACACAGATGCAAAAATAATTACCTAAACCAAAAAACCCAAAGCTGTTCTCATTGGTAGTTTCTCATGGGTGCCATTTTAAAGGGAGCAAAGTGATGTTTTTAAATGAAGATTGCTTGCCCTTCATTTTTTCTACAGGTAGAGCCTCAGACAGCTGAACTTTCTCTGCTGGCCTTTTCCTCCTCTGAGGAGGACCGTATAAAGGATTGGGTTGATTCTTGGAGATAGGATCAAATTCAGCTCCCACTTACAGTTGTGCAATCCATGTAATCCAAACTCTTTTCCGACTCTCACTGCACTGTTTGATTTCCCACAGGCCGGGGTATTACTAGGGAGGGAGTCCAGATAGGATTTTCGTGTCATTTTCTGTTTCCCTGCTGTAATTTCACCGAGCTGGTGATTTCTTTGTTATCTGCTGCCCCACTCCTGGATGGCACCACTCTAAAATCCTTTCTTCCTGGCTGAAAGAGAGGTTGCAGCCATCAGAAGGGAGTGCACTTCATCCTTCTCTACTTTGCCTCCACATAAGTCAGAAGTGTTTCCCACCAAGCCAGTGTAAAATAATTTCCTAGCCATGATGTTTCTTTTCATCCATATTTAAAAAAAAATCTTTTAAAATTTTTCTTCCCCCCCCCGAATACATCAAAATTTCACAGTATCAGCTCTATATGCAGCCTCTGAAAGTTTCACATTGCAGAGAATCTGTTTCCCACCCCTCTCTAATCCCAGTTCACAAAGTATGTATCTACAGTAGTGTTTAGCGCTTTTGAAGTGAATGCCCTGCCCCAGTTGCTGCTCTATGGTTTGCATTGCAGAGTGATTTTGGAGGACAAGCACTGCACTCCTTTAGGGTGAAGCTAAGCAATAGGATGCACTTTAGGTGTGTGTATCATGTATTAAAGGACTAACAATTCCCAGGACCAGACTAGAGCTAGTCTGACACAAACTCTTCAACACACAGTGGGGTCCCCAGTGTTTAGTTGTGTCCTCTGAATCGCTGGTTTCATTCTACAGATCCACTCCTTGTTGCACAACGGTACTTTTTACAGAAGACATAACCAAAGATGATAACTTGCAGAGTGAACGTAGAGGATAAAAAAGGTTACATTATACTCTACAAGGATTAAGAAGCAGTAAGACACCCTCCATTATTAAAGGTCATGCTGCTACTCTCAGCTATTACCCCAAGAAGGCTGATGCTGGGAAAGGTACTGGAGTAGCCCTAACTAGTTTCCAACCTCTTTCCATCCTGTTTTAAAAATGTAGGTGCCAGCTGAACTTAGGGACTTGGTAGAGGTGACACTTTCTTTGTATGCCATATCAAGTGTCAGCTGTGTAGCATCTATACTGTTTTGTTGGGACTTAATATCACCAAGAAATAAGACTGCTCTCAGCATTGTCCAGGTCTGGAAACAAACTTCATTTCACCCTACTTTCCCAAATCCAGACATTCCTCTTATCGTGCCCATTCCATAACAGTGGGAAAAAATGCCACCCGTTTTTTCCTGTTTGTCTTACACAAACGTACAGCATTAAAACTATTCTGCTGGACTTATTAACACCTGATCACAGATTTATAACATTGGATTAAGAATTTTATTGTCTTTTCCAGGCCCTGGTGTAATCACGTTTTCCTGCTTTTATGCATATGTTTGTTGACTTCCAAATAAACCTATTAACAGAGGGTTTACACCTGCCATTGTACCTTTATCATAGCTATGATACCTGTTGTTGATCATTTTTACTTGGTGGTATTTTCTCCTCCTCAAATTGTTCTTTTTTATCATGAATGGTATTATGTTCCCCTGTCAGGGAACAAAATGTATCTTGAGTCAATTTACTAAAATAGTCACTGCTTAGTGCTATATCTGGACAAAGTTGACACCTTTGACATTTTTTAAAATGGCAAAAATAACTGTATTTAAGGTATGATTTATGGGTACTGTATGTCAAAGGAATTTCTGTGTTATTACAGTTTCTGATACAGCCATCCGAACTCCTTCAATGAACAAATTGCTGATAGTGCAGCTAATTAATGCTTTATTAGTTTTCTGTGGTCAATTATAACAAGTTATAAAAAAGTAAAATGCAATTTAATATTAAAAAGCTGTGTGATTCTTGTTTCTTTCTCAGAACTGCTTTGTTTTGTGCATGTAGAAGAAACAGTTTCTACATAGCTCAGTTTTATAAGACACGTTTCCCCCCACTAAGAGCAACTCCTATGATTAAAAAGTAGACTGGAGTCTTTAAATGTCTTTCTGATTGCTGGCCTCTATTAAAAACTTCTTAAAATAATAGATAGGTTTAATTCCTCAAGCCAAAGAAAAATTATATCATCTTAAGTATTTTCCATATTTATTATATTGATGAGACTTGGCTGCAGAGAAAAAAAAGGAAGCAAAATCTCTTGTATTGCAAGTTTTAAATGTACCAGGCTAAGGTTTACTTAATTAGAACCTCCAGGCAATAAAGGAGCCCTTTTTTAAATTCTGTGAATCTTAATATGCTAAATAATGCAAAGCTTCAACTCTTCAAGCATGAGACACACATCTGGCAGCTTAACATTTAAATTACAGAAAAAAAACCACTTCAGTAGTAATTTTCATGAAGAAAAGAGTGGGAAATGTATTACAACTAAATTTAATTTCTTTTTAGATTTTTCATCCTGTCTAATTGCAAGCATTTGCCATCTTCTCCTTTATTTATTTATTTTCATACAGTTTTTTTCTGTACTTTTTATTGATCTTTAATTTGAGCAGCTTCTTACTGTTACAGCCGTTGAAGAATTACATTGTGTTTTTACTTAGCAAAAATTGTTCAGAAAAATCTATGAGGAATTAAAGTAATGAGCTCACTGGTATAGAAAGAAAAGAGTATTCAGAGCCTTACAAATAAACTGTAAAAAGAGCGTGTCATGATTAAATAACAAACTTGAGTTCCTTCTCCCTCCTATTTCTTAAGTGTAAAATATTATTGTTTTCTTTATTCTTTTTATTGTGCTGTTTTTCTGGCCAAGGTAATTACTGCTTTGTTCATTTGTCTCCAAAAACATTCTCAAAGTCTTCATTATTTTAGCAAAGCTATTTGGAAACCCATTTCAGTGAGCCAAAATTAAAAAAAAAAAAACCAAACCAAAACAACTGAACAACAAAGAAAACCACAGTAACCATCTTTACCAAGGTATGTTTATATTTTAATATGTGTTTATGGGATCATATGTATATCACATATATGGAATATGTGGAGACAATTTGAACTGTTTATACTGCATGTGTGCACACACGTGACATACCCAGCAGCTGTATTTTATGCAATTTCACTGATTTCAGCAGACCTTTCACCCCCAATGACATAAATACCTGTAAATACCTCATCCACTATGAATGCTCAGCATATATACACCTATATGTGTGTATACGTATAGAAAGTAAGAAACAGAAAGATGACTGTCTTTTACCGAGGGGAAGTGGAATTAACTGAAAAAAAAACGTGAAATAATCATTATGTATATTTTTGGCTTATCCTTCATGTGCCGTACATTAAGAAGTGTAATACAGACCTTTATTTCCTTCGCACCACTGCTTCCTACAATGTAGGAGTACATTTTTGTTCACTCTACAGGTCACTGCTTTTCAGAAGTTTGAGGGACACACTACTTGAGTACTTTCGATCCCTGTGCCTCATTCTCGATCCACAACCACATCCATACAAGAAAATGAACTTCCTTCTCTTTTCCAAAGAATACATCCTGAGGTGTTTAAAATATCCTTCACTGTCGTTCTTGTCATGTCTGTTATTTATTTATTTCTACTTTTTTGCCCTGCTTCATAGCTATACAATTGTTATTTCCAGCACCACAGTATCTGGAGTCTTCTCTGCATTTATCATCCTAACACTTCCGGAAGGTAGGAGAGAACTAACCACCTATTTATAAGTAGGATGGAGGGGAAAAAATGACCTGCGTGGAGTCATGAAGGATCGTGGTGGGAGAGGGAACAAAACCCAGGTCTTTCCTTTCCAGAGCTTTGTCTTATGCACCAATATAAAAGTACTTTTTTTTTTTTCTTACAGAGGATGATTTTTACCAAGATTGCTGTGGCAATGCAGATGAGCACTGCGTCTTGTTTCAACCGAAGGTCGGCCAAGGAGGACATCACACGGTACTGACTGGTCTTGGTCTGAATGTCACCATCTCACTTAAAGCACACAGTGAAGCCATTGGAGCTTCTACTAGTGCCATTTAGGAATGATTTGTGGGCTTGCTTCTTGTTGTTGCTGTTGTGTTTCTTTAAACTATCACTGTGAATTTTGTTGTAGCTAGTGGGAGTATTGCTGTCTCCTGCATAGATCTGTAGGGAGATAATCTCTCCAGCAAAGGGATTTCAAAGGAGTAGTAGGAAAGACCATCCAGTAATCAGATAACAGCAGCTTTATCAAGGCTGTGCTGCAGGATGATTTTATTTCAGTAATGTTTAAACACAAGATAGATTTCTTATGCATCTATAACTTTCAAGCTCTCATGTCCTTCTGCAGAAGATCCCCAACATCAGATACTTTTAGTATCCTTATTTGTAGTATCTTGGTCAAGGACATAATTAATTTGTGAACAAATATTTTGTCATCAGTACAAGTTACCGTGAAATCACATCTGCATCATGACAACACTTTCTGGGTGAGATACTACTGGAAGTTTCAAATTTAATGTAAATCCTGAGAACTAAGTCACAAAGAAGATTCTGTATTCCTGAGAATTGCTTCTACCTGCATTATCTGTTTTAAATTAGATATTTTCCAATGAAGGTTGCAATTTTTCTCTGTAAGTGTTCCTCCACTGCCCTCCTTAGATCAGCATGGCTTCAGTGAACTATAACTGCAAACATGAATATTCAAATTAATCTTTCTGGCAATTTGCCTCACTCTGTTCTAGATGTACTCTGAAATGTTTTTAATGCTTTTAATTGCCCATGGAAAAAAGTCATCACGGTACCTGGAGTACTCACAAACTTGTGTACTATGTGTTTATACCAGTACATGTACTGTGGCACAAATACTCAATAGCTGGGAATTATTATCGCAATTTTGACTTTAGTAGCGTGATGATCTACATGTAAATATCTATGAGCAAACCCAGATTGGTCAACTGGAAATTCCCTCAATTTTAAATGAATAAGTTTTCAAGTGATTTGTTTCTTGGTATAGATGAACTTGGCAGTGATAGGTTAACGGTTGGACTCGATGATCTTAAGGGTCTTTTCCAACCTTTACGATTCTATGATTCTTTAGGGAGGTAAGGATAACTTGGAGAAACCAGAGTTATATATAAACATAACTGCAGACTGATGTGTGCATGTGTGTGTGTAGCCTTTTTCTATAGGAAGACCGATTTAAGGATTGATGGAGTGGGTGTAATGGGCACAGCAACCCAGCCCATGGGAGTGGCAGAGTGAAATTCATTTCCTACAATCCCATAATAGCACATTGCCTTTGAACGAAGTGCCACGCTCTTATAGGAACCTCAGTTGTGGGTGGCTCTCAAAGCCACATTAAAGTGACCTGGTTTCAGTAAGGTGCGTAAGCCCATGGGTAATTCAGCACTGTCTAGTCCCTTTGGACTCAGTGAAATGACTCACAAGCTTATGGTTATCGAGATGGTTAAATAGATTTCTGAACTGAGCCTCTTATGAGAATACTTCTGCACAAAAGAAACGTGAGCATGTGAAATCTCCTTTCAAAGGTTGTAAGAGCCCCTCTTTTTTAATGGCATGAGTGAACCCTAATGTTCAGAAAGATCCTTGTTTTAGCACGTTCAAGATTTAGACACTTGTTCTGAGTTATGTCATTTGGGCCTACTTGTATCTCTGGAACTGAAACCATCTTCTAAAATAATTTTACCTAACAATCATATGTTGGAAACAATTTCAGACTAATGTAAAGAACAGACTTAAAGCTGAAGATAGAAGTTCATGTAGTGGCTTGTTCTCCTCAGCTGTCCCTTTTCTTGTAGTAAATAGATTTTTTTAATTTGTTTTTTTGTAACTAAAGCAAATAGAAAGACCTTTGTGTCTGACTTCACCTTTTTGAGGAACATAGGATATACTATCAAAACCAAAGATGTTATTGTTTTGCCTCCCTGCCCCCAAATTCATCTATGCTAAGGAGTCACAAATAGTCTCCCACCGAGTATCTTCTGAGTGATGGGCATTAGTGACAACTTAGTTTTTGTTGCAATGAGTGTGCACACCATTGCATGTATTCAAGATATTGCATTGTGGCTATGAAGGACACAATGCTCCTGGTCACTGACTTCTGGGAGAAGTAAAATATATTTTGTGGCTGTAATCCCATCCTCATGCAGATGACTGAGCTTCTGCTTTCATACTTCAGACAAGATCAAACACAGTCTTGGAGAAATTCACTCATAATACTCTTTAACACCTTTGGGATTTATGTCTTAAATAATGTTTTTATATCTACTTTGCACAGGGATAGTTTCATGGAGACAACGTCAGTGCAAGCAAGGTACTTTGCACACACTACCTACTCTAAAACCTTGACTTTTTCTAGAGAATTAAGTTGGGCAGTCATGTGGCTAGGTGAAATGCAATGCTATCTGTAGCTGCCTGATCTTAGTATTTGAAAAGAGCTTTGAGCACGCTACCCACTTCTGCTGTGCCTTAACTATTCATGTTTACATAGAATCACTTTTTGGTAATATATTCCATTGCTTGTGGCAGCTTTTCCAATGACCACTGAAGATACGATTGTATCATGTTTACTGATAACCATATTTAGCATTATGTAGGTATGGATATAAACCTCTGCCTGTTATGTTCACGAGCCTTAAGTTAAAATTCAAAATGCGGATGAGGTCTATGTAATCGAAGCTTCAGAACACAAATTTGCCTTTTAGAGCAAAATGGTTTACCGAGTTTGAAAAAAAAAGAAAAAAAATCTTTCTAGTTTTCATAATTAGTAAAGTATACAGTGATGTGACTACATCTACTGCCAATGCTGTGTTCCCTGGAAACTGAGATTTTTTTGAGATCTACAGAGTAAACTTGGATGTTTTGTTCGTTACGGTTTCATAAATGTGAAAGTCAAAAAAGACTTTAAATCATTTAGGTTAGCTTCTAATATACGCTAGAAAATTTCAACCACTTGCTCCATAAAATCAGCATCAAGGGATGGAGAACAAAAATTTCCTTTTGTGGTTACCTCTAAACAGTATACTTTCCATCTAACTGTCTAAAAGAAAAAACAAAAAGGGAGTCCTGTCTCTAGTTCAAATATAACTGGTTTTAACTTCCATCCCTTTGCTCTCTCTGGGCTCATTCACCAAGTGTTAACAAACCCTTTACAGAGTTTGGTATTGTGCCTAGGAAGCTATTAATAGATAGCTTCATGAAGTCACCTGCAGATGTCTGTTTGGTAAGTTATGACCTCATTGTGTCTCTTGGTGGAAGTGATGTTTGGCTCTGTGTCCAGGGGCAATAACACTGAGCATGCAAGAAACCTGGTCACTCCAGAGAGAGGCAATGCCAGTGCCGAATCAGGCCCTGTGTGTGCAAAAATGTTATTCCACCGATGAGCACAAATTGGGTTTCTGTACTTTGTAGCTCAAGGATTAGTTTAAATCAGCATAAACTGGCACCAGCACTGAAAGATGCAGTACTGTCCCTCTGCTCCCTTGTGCTGGCACCCATGCAGGGTGGCCTGGATCAGAATGGGTCCAGCTGAGAGATAACCCAGTTAATAAAAGGAAAAGAAAAGAAAGAGGCCAAACAGCATTAATTCCCTTCCCAGATCAGCTCCCTCCATATGTTTTACTATGTGGATGTCCAAATTTTTGTGCTGACGGAGTGCAGTGTGCAACACAGGAAAAAGCGAGCAGGTAGAAGAAGACTGGATGACTTCTGGTGTCAGCATGAGCTTACACCTCCTTCAGAGGGTTTGTCAAACTACAGCCTTATAAGAACATAAATCAATTCACTGAACAATATTGTGTGTGCCATTCTGGGCCTCACAATTTAAGAAGGATGTGAAGGTCCTTGAACACATCCAGAGGAGGGCAACAAAGCTGGTGACAGGCCTGGAAGGAATGTCCTGTGAGGAGCAGCTAAGGACTTTGGGATCCAGTGCCAGGATGCGTGGGAATGGCTCAAAGCTCGGGGGAGGTTCAGACTTGACATGAGGAAACATCTCTTTACTGGGAGGGTGCTCAAACACTGGAACAGGCTTCCTAGAAAGGTGGTTGATGCCCCATACCTGTCAGTGTTTAAAAGGCATTTAACATGCTTTAGCTTGGTCAGCCCTGAATTGGTCAGGCAGTTGGACTAGATGATCATTGTAGGTCCCTTCCAACTGAAATAGTCTAGTCTATTCCATTCCATTCCATTCCATTCCATTCCATTCCATTCCAATTAAGTGTTTTGAGCCAGCTTTGCCACTGCTGTTTTCCAGGTTTGTTTTAGAGTGAGGAGTAAAACAGAGCTAGAAGTTCAAAACAGGGTGAAACTGGCAGCTCTTACTTTGCTAGCTGTTCCCAGCTAATTACCTTACTATTCTAACTTTTTTTTTTCTTTTCATTTAAAGATCAACTGGAATAACCCACCTGACCAATGTTATCAAGAAAAATCAGGTCCTGGGAACAATGCAAGCCCAGAAGAAGGGAAAGCATCTGCAGAGAGTAATTTTTACTTGGAGGAGTTAGAGAAATATACTTTTTCTGTGTGGTAAGTAATCTCAGCATCAAATAGTTTCACAACCCAAAAGTATGCCTTGTTTTTCTTGTATTATAGAAGTATCTACATTCAGCTGAATGTTATTAGGCTGCAAAGTCCAACACATAGGTTGACAATTGCCTAAGCGGTGTCAGTTTGTCCCTTTTGTGCACGCATGTTATGATTATGACATCATATGCTATTTTTCCACAGAGGTCATTTTTCTGTATGTGTACTATTTATTTGTGTAAATATTAAGTACTTTATTTTCTGCTTTTTTGTCAGTGTAGCCCCTGGTCTTATTTAAAACATGCAGACCCTGCCTGGAATTCAGAATTAGTGATTTCCTCTTACTTTCCTTCTCAATAGAACTTTACAAGTAAGAGTTATTTTTTCTTCGCAAAATCATTGTGAAATAAGGAAGGAGTGTTATTTCACCTTCACAGATAGGGATATGAGGTAAGATATTTCTAGCACTTATAAGTGACCAAAGACTTGGATTTTCTTTGACTCCTTAGTATTATCTATGATTGAAGTTGATTAGAAAAAATTTGGAAGAATTTTTTGTCTGAGAATGGAATTCTGACATTGCTGATTTGCTTTGAGAAGCTGTGTCGGGAAGAAATGAAAGAGGATTTCTAGCAAAATCTTTTCAGCATTTTAAGAGCAATACACTACCTTTCTTGGATGTTACTTTAAATATTATTACTTTTCTTGTTATAAAATACACATATGGGGAATGATTTAAAATGAAAAGATAAATTAAAGTGGAATTAAAAAGACTGCATCAAAATGAAATCTTTTCACTTATAATTATTTTTCCCAGATTTCATCTTCAAGGTAATCGCAAAACTTGGACAGTAATTAGTAGAAAACAATGAAGACCCAGTCCTTCACTAAATGAAATGGTCTGATACTCTTTCACATAGCTCTGTATTGTGTTTTCAATGTTCAAAACCCAGCTGTAATGTACATCTCTGGCACCTACGGTCCTCTGCAAATCAGTCTCTAGACTTTCAAATAAAGCATCCAGAAAATGAGCATCAGAATAGGGTGGATGTCTGTGAAAATTTAGTTTTAAATGACTTCCCTGTCAAAACATTTGAAAGCAGTATTTATCTAATCAGGCAAGCCAAGTAGCCTTCAACATCACTAGTCCTGTTGTTCCCTGCTCTCACTTGCCACATTCACTTAGTGCCTTTAAAGTTTGGCAGAAAGTTAGGTAAAGACCCTACAGACACAAAGTACATTTTCACTATAGCAATCTGAACTGAGCCCTAGACGTGGTCAGCCCTGAGTATTGCAGGAGGCAGAAATCAAGTGGAAAAATAACACACAATCATATAATTAGACTGCTATAATTCTGCTGAATTAATGGTGGTTATTTTGGACAATTAAGGACTCCCCCATCCTGGCCATAATTTAAGAATAGATTTTAGAGTAACAGTGTTCATCCAAATATCCTTGCTGGCTCCTACTGTTTTATTTTACCTACCTCAATTTCCAAATTAAATTAATCAAATTATCATCGACCCTTTTTATCTCAAGGTGCTTGCTTTCTGTGGCGGTGAACTTCACCATCTCTCTTCCATGTCTTGCAGAGTTACAGTGATACAATTAATGTTTAAAGTCAGCAGCACTGATCCTTTGTTCTTTTCAAAGTTGTTCAGCTTGAAAGTGTTGGGAAAGGGGCCCAAGTCCATCCTTCCTTAGCACTGAAGCACTCCTGGACCACATACTGGTTTCTGGTCACTGTCCCTGAGGCAGCCTGGCCCCAGGCTTTGAAGCCCATGGCCTCTGCGATTGCACAGGGTGCCCAGAGGAGCAGAGGGAATAGGCATTTGTCTAAGTTGGCAGGCACCTCGCTGTCTGATTTGGGGTCCAAGAAAATATGATGGTTCTTTCTTCCTTTTGCTTTTAGTTTTCCCGTCTTTGTCCTTTCTTAGGAAGCCCAGTTGACTTTGGAGCCCCATGTCTGCAGGGACACTGGCTTTGCTGGGGTTCCCTGGGGAGGCAGAGGTATGTCTGAGCACAGTAAGTTACAGGGCATGAACTGTATGTCCTTGGTACGAAACAAAGGCTACAAGGCATGCTTCATGGTGATTGTGCTGCCTGTCCTTCTGTGAAGACAGCCGAGGCTAGTATTTTATCATTTCAATATACCATTCTATTTACTGTCTCTGTTATCCTGTTTGAAATAAGGACCAGCGCTGGCTTTATTTACCTACTTATTATGTGAAAATCCAATGAGGTTAGAACAAAAGAGAATTTACAGAGCATTTCTTTGCCTTCTGCTTTACTTGTGGTAAAATGTCATCTTTAACAGAAAGAAAAAAATAGGAAAACAAATTACTTCACTCTTGGTCAAGTAATATAAATATTACACTTTGCGTGCCATGTAAAGAATGTGTCCTTAATAATATATATATATTTTTTTTTAACTTAGAGTTAATTTAGTTTCCCTTTGTGATTGAAGGAATATCCGATACCTTATGAGTTGTTAGTTCCATTTGTTACCATACCAGCATGTTGTTTCAGTTGTTACTCACTTCTGTCTGTCTCTTCTTTCCTTTTCTCCTACTTTCTCCATCAAAGGGCATCAACTCCTCTTTGTCTGTTTCCAGACCTTCCTCTCTGCTAGGATTGCTACCTTTTAAAAAATGCAATGCAAGATAATTAGCTACTACAAAAAATTTTAATGGAACTGTAGATCTGGGGGTAGCTTAGATCTCCATAAACTTCAGAGTTTTAGATGCTCCAAGATGCAATCTGAGCAATTTCCTTGATCTTTTATTGCAGCTGGTAAATCATTTATTGGGCTAGGTTATTTTACAAAATCCTCTTTAAAAACAAAATCCCATAAAATGTATTTATCGTAAAATACTGCACGACCAACAGTCTTCAAAGTTGTACATAGCCTGTATTAATTAAAAGCTAGTGTTGTACTGTGACAAGTTAAAAGTATCCACTCTGTCTCAGTCTCTCTCTCCCCCCGCTGCCGCCTCTCCCTGTATTTTTTTCTCTCTTCTTTCCTCTCTCTCATCTTCTCATTTCTTGTAGGGCTTGCCAAAGGGAAGACTGGCGAGTTCGAGCAAAATAGTCTTTTGTGATCACAAATATTTTTCTGATAATTGTGATATTTTTTTGTTTCCATTGCTCTAGCATGCTTGTCGTTTTCCATTCATATTAATTTGACAGTGGTGTCTCACGTCCGTAGGCCATAGTCAAACCTCCTTACAGTGGGCATTATACACAATGTAATAAAAAGATCATTCTGGCTGCAGAAGCCTGCAGCCTTCAGCTTCGATCTTGCAGCCTACACGAGTGACTTTTCCACTGTGCCCACACACAGCCTTGCTGAAAGCAGCAGGCTTTTGCCTAGGTCCAATGAATTGGTGGTGAGGGGGGTGAGTCCAAAACATACGATGAGAGAGAAGAGGTTAAGACAACAGATGAACGTAGTCACATATTACAGGGAGGTGCAATCTATTGATGTGGTCAGCCGCAGTCACAGCCCCGTAGCTGCTTGACAGCCACCGGGCACTTTGCAGACCTTGCTGGAGAGCTGACCCCAGGACCTTGCCTCCCATCATGGCATCTCTGAACCTCCCTTCTCTCAGAAATTTATGTTTCTGGAACTAAAAGCCCATGTAACCTGCAGCAGAACATGGATATTTTTAGTGGCTATTGACTAAATAAGACAGGTGAAATCTATAACCTTGAGAGAGAAAACGTTTGGAGGAATTTTGACCCTTGCAGCCCAAAACCTGCTGTCAGAAGCTTTCTAGCCCTGTTCTTCTGTTCCCTGAAACAAGCAAAATCTGAGGAAAAAATGTTCTTCATGGCTATTTGTCACGATAAAGCTAAATTTCCTGAAAGTGCATAATAAATATAGATCTGAGAAATAATTTCAGCACTTCAGCTTTTTGTGCATAGTTTTAGAGGAGATAGGAAAAATATCCCAGATTTCAAAAACTTTTCTCTGTCTTAATAAAAAAAAAAGACATAAACACTTTCTGTGACTCTAGGAATCTTCAAGCTTGAGTTTAAATATAAATAATGAACTGGCAGTTTCAATGACCAACAACTTATCATCAAACATGGCTCTTAAGGGTTAATATTACACACTAATATAAAAGTAACGATCATCCTTTGTCTCCATGCAATTAGCTTTTTAACAACGTGCCTGTAGCTGATACCCAGGCTAAATGCTACTTTGAAATATTTTCTGCTGAACTCCAAACGTGTTAAGCTGACTCTGGCCAGCTTCTGTAAAAATAATTTATTGTAGGGTGCTGCCTTTTGTGGGGGAATACCCAGCGCCCCGTGCAGCAGTGCTGGGCGATGCCCATGGTAGCTTGGCTGCAGGCTGGTCGGTGCAGGATCAAACAGCATCTCGAGACAGGAGACAAGCCAATGTCCCACTGCATGTAGGTATAAGAAATAAATCCTACCTAGATTTATATTCTCGCACCTCTGAAATGCAGAGGGGGTGGGCCAGACTTTGGTTCTCACTTGCAGCCATCAGGAATGGATGCAGCCCCGGTCCAAGAGGAGTAGCAAGGGGAGGGTGGAGATGAAACAGGCTCTGGGCAGCATATGCCAGCCTGGGCAGGGTGGAGGGGGTTGAAGACACCTTTGCAATCCTGCCTCTGCACCTGTAGCCTTTATGATTTTATCTGCTGGGGTTTTTTTTTGACCAAATCAATGAGGACACTGAGAGGCAGGAAGAGTTAACTGTAAACAGCACAGTATAGTAAAGTTGTTTTTTAATAAAAACAATAAACTTTCTCTTTATAATACACATGTGATTTGATATTGAAATAAATGCAGATGCTTCTTTGCTTGGTGTATTCCCTGTTGTGCTTTCTAAAACACCTTCACATATGGTTTGCCTCATTCCTGTGAAACTGCTTGTTGTTTATGTCATACAAACAGAACAGATTGAATTTACACCGAGTAAGGAGGGTGATGAATTATACATTGGAGGAAAATCCTTGTCTGAGTGTTTA